CAGCGCCTAATGTGCATTTCATCCAGTCGCTGTCAGTAAACTGTAGAAATGCTGCTCCTGTTAGTTTCCCTAAAGCTATTGATCAGCACTAAGCCGTTACCATAATCTTCCGTTGGTATATTTTCTGTTTTGGAATTCGTTTGGTGATTCGTCATGATCAAGCCACTTGGCCGGTGGTTTACGATTGTCATAAAGGATCTATTTCTCATAACACGTCACTATTTAATGAATGATTTGAATTTCTGCAAATGCACATAGAATACATTTCAAGACATCGTACTCTTTGACTTTCACTGAGGTATCTATTTATCACATAAGGAATCCATTTGTCGAGTTGCTTCATCTTGCCAATTCTATTGAGATGATCCGATATTGTTGAAAAGTTGACATCGATTATTTGAGATATTTCTATGACACTTTGATGTGGTTTTTGTTCGTCTAATGTTTTCAGATGTTGATTGTCAATTGCAGGTGCACGTCCTTTACCAACTTGACCTAATGACACGTATCCCCGCTGCGGAACTTCAGAAACCAGCACCGTACAGTCCAATGACAATTGGATCCTGCACCAAGTACTCTGTTAATGTTGGCAGCAGTTTGAGAAACATTATGACCAATCTTGAAATCAAAGTAAACTGATCTCTTCTTTATTCATCTTAAAGATGAGGGCTTTTAGAACGATTGAAGTGAAATTCTGAAAGATGTTGTTTTAAAACTAACAATGAGGACACTTTAATCATTAGGAATGAGTGATATATATTTGGCGCAACTATCATGATGATAAATTAGGTCATATAAGGTTTATTCTAATAATCTGATATTATTTTCCGAAAACCCTAAAATATTAAGCAAGATGGGTAACTTCTTTGTTGAATGAGTAGTAATGATTACATGCAAATGTTTATATGTTATATGTTTATATGTTAGAATGAATAGCAATGATTATATGCAAATGTTAATGGTTATATGCAAAATAATAATAATATATGCAATATATGTAGAGTGAGTGGTCATGGTTAAATGCAAATAAGTGACAGAACTGCCCAACAAACAGAATTGAAAAAGTTTGCAATAAATAATAAAAAGAAAAGAACAGGGGACAAATAAAATAAAGCAAACAATATATTCAAGGCAAATTAAGAGTAATAAGGCAAACCAACATTAATATGGCAAAAAGTTCACAAACTCAGAATTGGGGTTCACACACAAGAGCAAATTTGGATAAACGAACACAGCGTTCTGACTTCAAGGCAAGACAGACCGGGAATGAGTCAGATGAAACTGAGAACTGGCCTATTTTATTGGCTAGGAAGAAATCCCAGCAAGCATTGATGTACTTCTGCTTATAAATTGGTGGGGAGGGGAAAGTATTTTGCAGTCATTCTTACACCAGATTGGAAACAACAAGGAGCAAGACCCCACTACTAAAATAATAAAAAACTAACATTTTTTTATTGACATATACCGTGGATAGAATAATGAATGTTGATCTACAAAAATAATTCCTTGTTTAAGATCAGATAATTCAAGTAGTGCCATAAATTTTGTTATAACTAATTTTAGGATTCACAGTTTCAATCAGTCTAGTTCTTTTTTCATCATAAAATCTTTGAATCATTATAATCTGAAAAATTCAAAAATTTAGCTATGTGTAAAGAAAACATTCACATCTGCCATTGATTGCCTGAAAATAGTAAACATACATTCAATTTTATATTCTAGACTAGTTTAACATTGCTTTTAAAAATGCCAGCAAAATCGGTCACTTTTTTTGTGGAATGAATAGAAATTGTTATATGCAAAATAATAAAAATATATGCAAAGCAAATTAAAAGTAATAAGGCAAAGTAATATTGCAATAAGCTCAAAAACTCAGAATGGGAGTCGAAGCGGAAAAAGCAAGTTCGGATCAAGACAAAACAGATCGGGACTGAGTCTGCTGAAACCAAGAACCAATCTATTTTATTGGCTAGGAAAAAAATCTCAGCAAACATTTGTGTGCTTCTGCCTATAAATGGGGTAGAGGAACGTGTTTTGCAGTCATATTCTTCTTGCCGAATTAAACAGTATCTTTTTTCTATATTGTTTTTTTATGAGTCTAATGAAGACATTTATAGGCTTATAAATCCTCTGCTACCTGTAGATTAGCTCAGTGTATGGAGCAATTACAAACTGTGTTATGGAAGATCACGAGATTTAACCTAGAATCGGGTACGCTAGAGCTAGAGGAAGATTTCCCACAACACCGCAAGTTGCTACAGAACCAATATACAACCTCAAACCCTGAGTCATCAGGTCGAGGCTTTCACATTGATACACATATGCATAGCTTCCAAATCGTTTAGATATATCTAAATAGTCCAATCCCTTTTTCTGGTCAATGATTAAAAAGGGCTTCGAGAAAAGGAAGCATGTAGGCCTTACAGAGGCGCATCCTTCATAGAACCTCGTGGAATGGCCCGACGAATGACAAACGGAGCTTTACCAAATCTCAGAAACCACATCAGTTGAAATTTTTTGAAAGTAACAAGAACTAAAATCGATTTCACAAGTAAATCTAAGGGAGAATAATGTCATCATCAAGATGCCGATGTTCTACATTACTCATTGCGTCGTAGTGGCTTTATTCCCTAACTTGGGGTGGACTGATTAAGAAATATATCCTGTAGGGACATGAAACATAAAAAAGATCAATGGGTTAAAATTTAATCTGATCACTTACGCGTCGATTTAAATGCACCTGGCCGACTTCCAGTTGACTGTTTCTTGTGAAGATTATATTTGGTATACAATTTACCTTATTCGGACTATTGTCTTCATCTTCGTCGCCATATGTTTATAACGTTTATAACGTAGAAAGAAGAGGAGAACATTTAGAACATTTCTTATGAGTTGCTGTGATCATGAGAAACGATGGCCTTGTGGATATATGTATATATATATATGTATATTTTATCTTGTTTGTAAAGAAGTCAGGAACGCTTCCCCTAAGTTTGCAAAAGTATTTTTTATTTGTATTTTGGATAGTAAATTTAATAGCATCTACCGTAGACTCTAAACTTAAAAGTGAAAGATTTGTGAATATATGTTTATATGGATGTTTGGCTTTGTTTTGGCATGAGGAACCCGGACTCAACGTTCATAAAAGAATTTCTTATACACCCCGTGTATATATATATATATATATATATATATATATTATGAAATGTACAAAGTCCGATAATTATTTTTAAGACATTTTTGTGTTTATACATTCTTTTTTTTAGATACAAATATTTAAGTAAATGTTCTGTTTATAATAAACAGTATTAAACTACATGTACCAGCCTGAA